CACAGTATACACACACACATATATATATATATATATATATATATATATATATATATTTTACATATATACATATATACACACATATATAATAAATATACATACATATATACATATAATACACTTATATTATATTATATATATAATACACACACATAATATATATATATATACAATATAATATATATACATACATATCACATATATATATATATACACATATACACACACACACATATATATATATATATATATATATATATATAAGTGCACATACCGTGGGCAGAAGCTGTTCCGCAAGATCAGAACGGACTGCCAAAATATACTTCACACCCAGCAGTCCGCCGTGCCGAACCTCCCACTGGTGTTTCGAGCATTTGCGATTTTGTGGTGGGGTGTGTCAAGAGGGGCGGTTATAAGATAGGTGTGATCGTGAATGCCAGTTAAAAAGACATGGCATGAGGAACAAGCGCAGACGACCTGGAAAGGATCTGTAGTAGGCAGGGGCATTTTTAAGGACTGTGGACTTGGATCCAGAATGTCAGAAAAGAGCAATGTTACAACTTGTGGGACAAACTGAGCGACACCCGAGTGCAGTCGGCCAGATGTGCGGCTGACTGAGCCAACCCTCGGAGATATGAGATGGAGTGAAATAACATACAGGCCGACTTGTATACGCCACAGCGCAACAAGATACATAGCATCCGTCTTTGGTGTTCTATTGCAGGCACGCATCAATGCATGCACAAAACTGTGACCCACGCCCTCGGACAGAGGTACACATCCGTTTGATATATTTGTGACACATACCTACTCTGGTTGGACTTTTGTGATACACAGTTTGCTTGGATTGTGTGGAATCTTGTCAGTACACATAGACATTACAGAGAGTCCAAATTGCGAGTTAAAACACACAGACTTCCTATGTCGGCTTCGTATCCCTACTATACCAACTGTACGGTGCAATATGGCTTGTCTGTGTAATCAACCTTCGCATCTTCGGCACAAAAATACAAGGTAAGGTAGTAGTAAAGCACATCATCTTGGCTTGTTTGTGCACCCAAACTTCACATCTGCGGAGTACAAGAGAAAACGTTGCCTACAACTGCTTCTATTTGCACACACACACCTTATCTTGTTCCAGCAGATGCAGCAGTTCAGAAAGCACTCGAGCAACTAAAGCGGCGTCCATGTAGGGCAACAGCGCCCCTAGCGACTGCGCACAAGTCTCGCGCACAGGCGCTACAGCCTACATTGTGACGTACGTTTATTTGTGGGTTCAATTAGGTATATGCAATAAGTTGGTTATGGATCGTGCTAAAGCCTTCCAGCCTACCCCGTGGTCCAAGTAGAATAACAAAAAATACGCATACGTATATCCTTATGTGCACGTGTGCCTGTTGCAGAGTAGTACATATTCATGTTTAAATACGCAAATGTATATACATTTAAAGAAATTTGCATACATATATCCGTATGCGTACATGTGCCTGTTCTAGCGTAGTACGGAATTGAGTTCAGATATGCATACTTATATCCATATGTGTACATATGCCCGTTGTAGAGTCGTACGAAAACTAGTCCAAAAAGGTATAAATATATCCATATGCGCACACGTGCCTGCCATACAGTCGTAGTTGAATACCTGGTCTGATCCGAAATCGCTGAATTTATCCAAGGCAAAAATACACAACAAGCGGATGGCAATGTCCTCGAGCCATCGGTTGTGATTCTCTGCGTTCTGATTGGGCAGCGCTCCTTTCACTGCGCCGCCAATGAAAAGACATTGATAAGTAAGGGGTTGTACTTCTATTCATTCTGATTGATGATCGCTCATTTCACTGTACCGTCAATTGTGCTTCTCTTAATTCTGATTGGGCAGCGCTCCTTTTAATATGACACAAGTGGAAAGGTATTGGACAGTAAAAGTACCTTATTATAGTACATATATACCATATGTACAGATACGCAATGGTATGTTGATGGCATGCACATGCATATGCGATATGGATACACATTCTATCTGCCACATGATAGAGAGTATTGCAGTCATTTTTGAGCAACAGATGCAGGCACTGAAACGAGGTGAAACACACTCACAAGCAGAACTGGTTTGACGTGTACATATACAACAGGCCAGATGATTTATTTCATACGTGATATATGTATGATATACACCCAGACGAATAGAAAACACAATCATATCCCACAAATCCTCAGCGCGGAAACTCATACCTGACCATCAGTTCTCAATAAGTGGATAGCGACACCCAGCAAGTATCAGGTTATGCTCGCTTATCCCTTCTTACACTTCCGAAAACTATATAACAGCCAACCGGTACACGCGCAAGCACACATAGATTCGTAAACTGACATCTCGTTTCACACAAAACACACACACAC